CAGGACGCAAGAAGGACAAAGTCCCGGCATTTCGGACGGAGGATTTCCCGCCCCTTCGTGCTCCTCAGCAAAGGCAAGTGAATTCGCGGGTGCATTCCGCTCAAGCAACTTCCGGTGATTCTGCTGGCCAAAGCTCTCCATCCCCCCCTGGATTCTGGAGACAACCAACAGCGCAAAACAACAACCCCGATCTGTTCTCAGCGGATGAACTGATGGAAATCTTCGTCAACATGTCCGGTGCTCTTCGTAAGTGCCGCAATAAGCCCGAACAGATCCAAGTGCTCGGTAAGTTCATCATCCAGTATGGCGTCTAAACCGCTAAGTATCGTCACCTGGAATGCTTGCTCTGTAAGAGCAAAAGAGATTGAGCTTGTCGACTTCCTCCGCAAGCACAGCATCGACGTGGGCCTTCTAACCGAGACCCATCTAAAGTCCGGTGACAGCTTCTGGTTGCCTGACCACAACATTATCCGGCTTGATCGCACCAGCTCCAGGGGGGGTGGTGTTGCGGTCGTCGTCAAAAAAGGAATAAAATACCACACTCTGTCCCATATCCGCACCACTATCATCGAGGCCCTTGGTGTGGAGGTGGAGTTGTCGACTGGATACGTCCAGTTCATCGCCGTCTACTGCCCTCGACAGTGTGCCGCCAGCAGTGGACTAGCGGCTAAATTCAAGAAGGACCTGTCCACCATCACCCGTACCGGTTCCCGCTTCGTAGTTGGAGGAGATCTGAATGCTCGCCATGAGGCCTGGCGGAACTACCAGCAGAACCAGAACGGTCGTCTCCTGTTCGACCACTCACAGCATGGGCTGTACTCCGTTTGGTTTTCGGATGAGCCAACATTTATCTCACCGGCGGGCAACCCATCGACGCTAGACCTGTTCCTGACAAATATCGGCTTGTCCAAGCCGGTAGCCTTGAACGAACTCAGTTCCGACCACCAACCGGTGGTGTCTGAGCTGGGCTGCAACGTGGCTCCTGCTTCAAGCCTGCGCAAGGACTATCATCGCGTAAACTGGGCCCAGTTTGGACGCGTGGTAGACAGGCACATCATCGACAACCCGCCGCTTGACACCGTGGAGGACATCGACCGAGCGTTGGAGGGACTCCACCAAGCCATAACCGTGGCTGACGAGGCGTGCATCCGACGAGTTCCTGTGAGGGGTAAGTTTATTGCTATTGATTCCCACACCCAACTCTTAATTCGCCTGAGAAATGTTCGTAGACGCCAGTTTCAGAGGACTGGAGATCAAGCGATGAAACGTGAAATGGCCGATCTGAACAAGGAGATTGCTTCCAGAATGGTCTCACTCCGGAACGAAAGTTTCGGGCGGCTTGTCCAGAATCTGGACGACCGCTCCAGACCATTCTGGAAAGTTGCCAAGGTCTTAAAGACGCACCCTAAACCCATTCCGCCACTAAAAGATGAAAATGATGACGATCGGCTCATAATCACCCCTCAGGAGAAAGCAAATGCGATTGGTGAGCATATTGCCAAATCGCACTTGCTTGGCTCCAACATCCAAAGTCCGCTCGAAGTTCAGGTTGAGCAATGCGTACTCAACTTTGATTCCTCCCCTTGTGCCATCCCTCCGGAGGATAGAATCACAGTTGAACAGATTTGCTCAGCGCTGAAATGCACCAAAAACATGAAGGCCCCCGGGTTTGACGGAATATTCAACCTAGTGTTGAAAAATCTCAGCATGAAGGTTCACTCTCTGCTGGCTGCTGTCTTCAACAGATGCTTGGAACTGCACTACTTTCCAAGCATCTGGAAGACAGCGAAAATCATACCTATCCGCAAACCCGGGAAGGACCCAACGCTAGCTTCAAGCTACAGACCAATCAGCCTCCTTTCAGCGCTGAGCAAATTGTTCGAGAAACTCATTCTCAATCGTTTGCTCAAGTTTGTCGAGGAAAATAACATTCTCCTTCCGGAACAGTTTGGGTTCAGAAAGGGGCACTCCACCAATCACCAGCTAGTGCGGGTGATGAATAACATCCGAAGTAACAAAGCTGTATCCAAGTCCACAGCCATGGCATTGTTAGACGTTGAGAAAGCGTTTGATAATGTCTGGCACAATGGGCTTGTATACAAGCTCTGTAACTTCAACTTTCCATTACATCTGGTTAAAATCACCCGTAGCTACCTCCAGCAAAGGTCGTTTAAGGTATCGTTGAATGGTTGTCTTTCAGACACGTTTTCCATCCCTGCAGGAGTCCCGCAAGGCAGTCTGCTGGGCCCCTTGCTTTACAGAATTTACACTTCCGACATTCCTCCCCTTGGAGACGGTTGCGTGTTTTTCCTGTTCGCAGATGATACCGCAATAGCCGTCAAAGGAAGGATGCCTCGCGAAATAACGAACAAACTTCAACGATGCCTTAACGCCTTTGCTGATTATGCCACCACGTGGAAAATCAAAATCAATGCTTCCAAAACACAAACAATCATGTTCCTCCATCGGCAATCACCCAAACTAAAACCGGCTCCCTCTTGTACTGTAATCATGGATGGCACAAGGGTTGAGTGGTCCGCCGAAGTAACCTATCTCGGGATGTTGTTTGACGAAAAGCTTCTATTCCGCTCGCATGTGGAGAAAACCGTAGTCAAGTGTTCCGCCTTGGTTAGGTGTCTGTATCCGCTGATTTGCCGCAGATCCCGCCTCTCAAGGGTGAACAAACTGGCCGTCTACAAACAAATCATAGCACCTGCGATCCTCTACGCAGCTCCGGTGTGGGAATCATGTGCACAGACTCACAGGAACAAAATTCAGGTAGCTCAGAATAGAGTGCTGAGGATGGTTCTTGATCGTCCTTTCGACACTAGAATAACAAATTTACATGAAGAGGCAGGCATTGCCAAAATAGATTCCAAAATTAACGAAATTAAGACTAAATTTGCACAAAAATGTAATTTATCAGAACATGATTTGATAAGCAATTTGTATATAGTAGGTTAGGTGTACATAGTAGTTGTAGGTTAGTTGTAGTTGTAAATAGTAGTTATAAGTAGTCTCCTTTTTCCAATTCAAATCAAACCAATCCCACCAAGGTGGTCATACTTTAAAATAGGCCTGATAGGACTAGGAACTGTAAATAATAATTAAAATCTCAAATGTACTAAAGTTGAAAAGACGCATCTGTGTCACTTAAAAAATTCATACATGTAAACCACACAATCACAAGAAATAAAGATCATTTAAATGGCAAAAAAAAAAAATGGCATTAGCTCATTTTCGCTTCGGACAGCGTGGTGAGCAGCAATAGCAGCAGTAGGAAGGTGGATACGTCTATTGACGTCTCTTTAAACTGTTCCCCTACAAGAGGAGAATGGCAGCCCTACTTTTGCTCAATAAAACAGATGAAATTATCCTTAATAAATAAAAAAAATCTCCTTAAAATAGATCGTGTTGCTCCTTAAATGATTGATCAAAATACGTTAAAAATCTTAAAATGCTCAGTAAATATTTAAAGTACGCTCCCTAAAATAGAGAAAACTGTACAATAAGCATTTGAAAATGCTCCTTAGTATGCACCGCTTTGCACCATTTTGAAGTGTAATTGTACCATATATCATCGGAAAAGCTGCTGTAGAAAGGTTAATAAGTACCATGAAGTCAGCTGAAATGTTCAGTAAAAATGCACAAATGCACACAATGATTTACTGAACATTTCAGCTGATTTCATGGTACTTATTAACCTTTCTACAGCAGCTTTTCCGATGATATATGGTACAATTACACTTCAAAATGGTGCAAAGCGGTGCATACTAAGGAGCATTTTCAAATGCTTAATGTACAGTTTTCTCTATTTTAGAGAGCGTACTTTAAATATTTACTGAACATTTTAAGATTTTTAACGCATTTTGATCAATCATTTAAGGAGCAACCCGATCTATTTTAAGGAGATTTTTTTTACTTATTAAGGAACATCGTCATTGTTTAATGATTCATTTACCTTTTTACCGAGGAGAATTTAGTTCATTCGAGACGGAGTAGGAAGGTGGTGGCTAGTCCACTCCTTCACAACCAACAAGCAACAATTGACTGGTCGTGGCAAAGGAGGAAAAGGTCTGGTAAAGGAGGTGCCAAGCGTCATCGCAAAGTTCTTCGAGATAACCGCCATCGATCGTCTGGCTCGCCGTGGTGGTGTCAAACGTATCTCCGGTCTGATCTACGAGGTGTGCTGAAGGTGTTCCTCGAAAATGAGGTCCATGATGCTGTGATGCGTGATGTGCTGGCCATGTATGTCCTCTTCAATAAAACAGCCCTTTTCAGGGCCATCAAGTTTACATCAGTAAAGAGTTGGAATAGAATTTATCTGTGCTTGTTTGTCCATATTCAGAACCACAAGCCCCCAACGACCACACAAAATGCTCTCCAGAGTTGTAATCTTGTAACCAAACTTGGAAGCAGGGGTGCAAGTGATTTTGATTGATTCTCTTAATCAACTTTCTCTTTGAAAAAGATTACTACAAATTTGGTACGCCTACAATTCAAAAACGGAAAGAGTTGAGATAATAGATAATTGATCAATTAAAAGAACTAAATGCGCTTCACATTTATTCCGTCCACTAGCGGTCCTACGTCAAGCTTTCGTTCGTGCCCCAAGGCACAGACCCTTCTTCTTTTTTTATATTTTCCCAACACTGGTTTCAATATCTTTTATGTCAATGTATCCACGATTGCCATAATTTATTTTTGCCGAAACTCGTCTGAATTCAATTCATGTTTCGATCCCGTGCGAAACATTTGGGTGCAACATTTTCCTCGTACCACTACGCTTTGTATATGAATCACGCGGAAATTTGCCGCTTTTCCATGCTGGAAAGCAAGCAAACCAACAGGCGACAGCTATTTCCGTTTATTTGTGCAGCATGCTCTATTAAAACGTGATGAAAACATGCGTTCCAATCTCGGAATCCAATAGTCCGGAACGACCCATCCACCCACGGGACGCGGAATCTAGTTAGTAGAGCGATTTAGTGGCCACTTACCTGGACTGTCGTGCGGAATCGGTGCACAGAATGCGCTGGAACTGCCCGACGACGAAGTGGGCGGTGGGTAGAAGCCCCTGGGCGGTCCCACCAGTCCCAGCGGGGAATCGCACTGGGCCGGTTGGCCGAACAGAGGCGGCGTCGATAGTTGGGCAGCTGTAATCAAAAACCGAAGTAGGGGAATGATGAAAAACCAAAATCGTATCAATTTCAACAACCGCTTCAACTTTTTTTTTCTTCTCATAATGCGATGGTCTGATGATGTCATTCGAGGTGATTAAAAGCCGAAAATGAAAAGAATGTTCTGCTTGTTGAGGTCACATTCCCTGCGGTCGCGCTGACACGTCATCGTGTGCGGGGGTAGCGTGATTGCTGTGTCAGGAGCAAATCAATAATTGATGTTAACTACATTGCCGCGACACAGAAATGGTTGCCCCATGTATGCAGCAAAAGTTTAATGAAATTTTCATCCGAACGAGCGTGTGTACATTGTTTTGCTTTAATTAATTTCATAAAGCGATAGGTACACTACCGATCATGAGTTTGCGGTCACCCTTTTAAAAAAATGTAAAAGTTTTTTTTTGCTCTTTAGCTCTGTCATTTTACGACCGATTTTCGATCTTTATAGGTCATTGGAAAGAGTTTGACTTAAATTTAGTTCGTTAATAACTGATTTACTATATTTTACAATTTTTTGCATCATAAAACTTCTCTTAAAGTTACAATTTTTTTTTTAAATTCACACTGCATATTCATGACTGATTTTCCATCGAGATACGTTTGTGAAAGTTTGATTGGCAATTTTCGAATATGCTTTAAATCAATTAAATAGTTATTCAAGTGTTCGATCACAAGTTTGGGCTCACCCCACAGTTGTAAGTTTACTTAGAATTTTAGTATAAATATTTTGAAAAATATGTTTAGTAAGTAAGTCGTCCATTCATGGCCTTTCAAATACTGCAAAGAGAACTTAAGGGGGGAGTACACTTTGATTTTTCGAAAAAATACATTTTTTTTTGGCTTAAAATGTTTCTTTGGATGTATGCTTTAATTTAGAAAATTCCTAACAGCTTTACGAAGCGATTTCCTAAAACATGTACCGGCGCGCTGAGAGAGCAATTTTATCTTTAAACGCGTTTATCTCGAAACGTGGTTTTTCAAACTGGCGTGGGAAATAACTGTAACCAGTTATCATCAAATTTGGATATCGCCTAGGTTTTCTTGTTCAGAATTAATTTCTGCTTAGAAATACGTATCCACATTTTCGATTTTGTCAAAAATGGATTTTTAATCCACGATTTTGTAAGCATTTTTAGGGTGAAAAAATTGACTTTTTTTTCCTAAGGCCTTTTGAAAAAATTAATTAAAAAAAATCGGAATACGTATTTCTAACCCAAATTTCATTACTAATCAGGATTTCTGTTCGATTTATGTTCCAGGATCACATGGAAAGAAGTATTTTCCCACGCCGTTTTCCTACTTCCGCGCGAGGACGCCCGCGCGACCTGGTGCATCGGCCACGGGGAGCCGCCAATAGAGTTAAAAAAAAATACAAATTGTAGTTCGAAGGATGACTAATAAATGGGTTATAACATATTTGCCCTCCCTGAGTGTTTTATTGCTTAAAAAAATTAACAAAAATGCCTTACTTTTTGGACGTTCAAAGTGTACTACCCCCTTAACACAAAAACAAAAATGGCAGAGATATGAAAAACTGATGATAATGATGATAAACAAAATACGACGGCCAAAGCGCGATCCCGGAGGCTGTACACGACGATGCTGACGAAGTTTGACTGCGTGGTAATGGACGACGAAACCTACGTCAAAGCCGACTACAAGCAGCTTCCGGGACAGGAGTTTTATACGGCAAAAGGAAGGGGAAAGGTAGCAGATGTTTTCAAGCACATGAAACTGTCAAAGTTCGCAAAGAAATATCTGGTTTGGCAAGCCATCTGTACCTGTGGCTTGAAAAGCAGCATTTTCATAGCTTCCGGGACTGTCAACCAAGAAATTTACGTGAAAGAGTGTTTGAATAAACGTCTGCTGCCTTTCCTGAAGAAACACGGTTGTTCCGTACTGTTTTGGCCGGATTTGGCATCTTGCCATTACGGTAAAAAGGCCATGGAGTGGTACGCCGCCAACAACGTGCAGGTGGTTCCCAAGAACAAGAACCCTCCCAACACGCCAGAGCTCCGCCCAATTGAGAAATACTGGGCTATTGTCAAGCGGAACCTAAAGAAGACCAAAAAAACTGCTAAGGGCGAGCAGCAGTTCAAGGCAAACTGGCTTTCTGCGGCGAAGAAGGTGGACAAGGTGGCTGTACAAAATCTGATGGCAGGGGTCAAGCGTAAGGCCCGGCAATTCGGATTTGGAAAAGCGGAAGCCTAACTGAATATTTTTTCTGAATTTTATACTAATTGAACTTGAAAAAGAAATTTAATTTGATTTTTTAAATAAACGATTTCACCGATTTACACGCGTTTTCCCTTGACCAAATTTTGACCGTATCACCCTTTAGTTCATTGTTATGTGGCTCAAAATGTTTTTGCGTTAATTTAAACTTAAATTCCAAGTAAACTTACAACAGCGAAAAACCACACAGGTGACCCCAACATTTTGATCGAGATTATTTTATTGATTTAAAGCATATTTTAAAATTGCTAACAAATTCCCTCAACTCCAACATGTTTAAAAAGTGAAGTCCTTAAGGTGATTCTTTATAGATACCATAAATGGCCACCACATAGGCTATATATGCCTTTCCACTTCTAATATTCAATTACACAAATCTCGGAAATCGGTGCCCCATTTCAGCAGTGCAGCAAACGTGGAGTAGCTATTTGAATGTTGCACGTGTCGTAGAAGCTGATAGTTGTGCACTTAAAATTTCGAAGTGATTCCGAGAATAAGGGTGTCACAGCAATTCACCTTAACCTAGAGTAAGTCGCTAATAATCGGACCCGTTCTACTAACTTTAGTCATAAGAAATATAATTAATATATATTGAATTACGGCTTCGCAAAGCTAACGCAATCAAGCCTTGACAAATAAAATGAATTTAAATATAAAAAAATTGCAAACAAAACTTTCACAAACGTATCTCGATGGTTGTAAGGGTTCCACTTTCATTTCCAAATTTGGCCGATCTAATTCTGTAGCATACAACAATTGTAAAATATATAAAACCAGTATCCAACGACCTATAAAGATCGAAATTCGGTCGTAAAATGACAGAGAGATAGGTATGAGCAAAAAACATTTACATTTAAAGATTTTTTAAAGGTTGACCTCAAACTTATGACCGGGAGTGTAGGTACACAAGAGAAATGCAAAACCGAATTGGGTCGTTCTATGTGCAGCTGTATCGGAATGGTTCTATGTGACAGAGCGACAGATCTCGTTTCTTGTTATATAGAATGAAAATTTAAATTTTCGGGAACGTGCCAGGAATGAAAAACGGATGTTTGCATATGTCCATGCAATAAATTTCGAGACGAACGAACTATCTTCTATTTACGCCGTCATTTAAATTGCCAATGTAAATTTCCCTAAAAATCCACACGATTAATTAACCAGTTAGGAATAAAAGTGAACTTCACATTCCGAACAATAGCAATAAAATCGAACTCGATTGTTCCATGGCCACAGATGCCATCTAGCAGTGATGCAACCGGATAGCATCAGCTCTCGTCAACAAAACTGACTTTGTTTCGATTTCAACGCGTCATCGTCGTCTGTTTCTAGATTAGATATGCGCCACCCTATCTAAGCCAGGCTGTGTCATCAATTAAAATTGAAGCGGTTGAGAAGGACAGATTGACAACAACCGATGACGATACATCATCGTAAGTGGGTACGTTTGCTCTCGAAAGCAGAAAACTCACCTTGATCGTTGGGTGGCCGCATGCTGGAGAGGGCCGTCAGCGGCGTGTAGGACTTGGGTGGTGCCTCCCCGGGACGCACCAACCGTTCCTCGGTGACGCTCTGCTGCACTCGGTACTGCATTTTGCAGTACGCTTCCTGGCTCGCCCCCAGGCCGGAGTTTACGTACACACCGGTAATTGTTACCTCGGTGTCTTGGGCGATGACAACGTTGTTCGAAACCGGTCGGGGCTTTTGTGCGAAAAAGGGGAAACGAAATAACATAATTGGATATTTGACCTGCTTACAAAGCATTTTGACACTTACCTCTTCAAGCTCGCGCTTAACCTCGGTGGTTTCGCCTGTCCTGTCACGCATCGGTTCGGTTTTAACCGTTACGAGCTGTTCCACTTCTTTCTCCTTTTCTTTGTTTTTACCTTTATCCTTGTCTTTTTCCTTTTCCTTCGGTTTGTCTTTGTCTGCTGACTTTGCCGAACTTCCCGCTTCTTCCTCGTTCTTTGCATCTTTCGCTGCCGCCTTTGCTAAGGCCTTCTTCTCTTCTGCTTTCGCCGCTTCCGCTTTCTCTTTCGCTTCCTTCTGTTCCTTAGCCTTCTTCGACTTGGGCTTCTCAGCGGGACTGTCCGAATCGGAGTCTGTGTTGCGATAGAGAATCCTCTGAACCTCGTAGGTGGCAGCCAACATGGCCGTGGCATTCAGGCTTGCCATACGTTTCTTGCCCAGAACTTCCACCACCTCTTTCTTGGGTTCACGTTTTCGCTTCTTGGGTTCTTCGTACTTCGACTTGGCTGGTGCCTTTTCCGAGCCCGCGGACGAGGAACTGGACTCATCATCCTGCTGCTGAAGCTGCAGTTTTTCCGCATCAGAGAGCAGAGCTTTGACCTCTTTCTTGATCTTCTTGGCAGCCGGTTTCGGTTTGTCGGATTTATCAGCCTTCGGTTTGGGTTTCGCTTTCTTGATCACCTTGCGTTTGACTTTGCGCTTCTTGACCGGATCGGTGTCTTTGCCCTGCATGGGTGGAATTGGGTTATGATTGTATTTTTTTTTGTTGTAAAAGGAAGTAGGTTACCTGTGTGTACGTTTCATCCGAATCGGCAAGGTCATCTCCTCCAGATTCCATGCTGGAAGCATCCGGGTCCCAGTGTTTGCCCATTCCCCGGAGACCGGGAACACATCGGAGCGTCCTGTGGGAAGATATCCAGGGAAGAAAATCGTTTAGCTTAATACGAAAATGGCTTTTCTACAGTGATCTGCTCTGATTAGGTTTGATCTCTAATAGGTTTAAACAGAGTCGATGTTATAATAAAGGTGTATTCAGATCTGAGCGATATTTCACGCGCGGAGAGAGATTTTGCGAAGGTACGAGAGGGAGAAAAGTACTAGTTGTCTCTCTCATTCCAACGCAAATTTTGCTCCGCTCCGCTAATGTACGCTTATATCTGAATACACCTTAAGAATCCCGCCAAGAGAAAATGTTGCGAACAAGCTGCTTGTGATTTATTTTTTGTCAGTGTAAACGGCAACTAGATTTTACTTTTGGCAAAGATTTACTATACTATACTTTTGGCAAAGATTTGTATGTATGTATGTATGTATGTAAGGTAGCCACCATCCCTTCGAAGATCTTGTCTTGTATGCAGCTCCACTTAATAGCAAGATCAATTTGAGCTACCGATCTGAATTCACAATATCGCTGTATGAAGGGCCAAAAACGGTGGGGTGGACCCGTAAGCAGAGACACTTACGCGAAATCCACGGGAATTTAAGAATCTCCTTCCAACGATACGATCCAACAAATCGAATAACGCAATTCGCAATACTTATTAAGCTTCCTACAGGATGGTTTGTTAAGAAGGGCGCGTCAATCTCACTGAAACTGTTGGAGTAGAATTCACACCATCACAATCGAATCGGTAGGATAAAGAAAATGATAGTGTTTATTCCCTCCTAGACTCCGGTTGTCATACCACTCCAATCGTCCAGTTTCAGGTCAAATGATACCCTGATGCTCCCTCCCAACCCAGTATTTATTTATATATATAGTAAACATATGTAATGGAGAAATGAAATATATTAGAACATTAAAATACGTAATAATGAAAATACATTTATATGGATAAAAAAAACTGTTATTCCGCAATGAAAATAATAATTATTTTACATACAATATGATGCAGCTCTATGTCTCCTCAGCTCCCAATAAGGAACATGTAACCCTGAAATTTCCAACAAAAGACACAGAAAAGGAGATTTTGTTAGTAAGTTGGGTTCGTTGGATCAGGATTCACCTTGATAAGTGATGCGACCATGGTTTTAAATGAATCAGTGTTATCATGCATTATACTTGGATTTGCCCGAAGCCAAAACCAAATGGTGTATCATTGGTCCTTATTACGGGTGTCACTACACGGTGATAAGAAAGTGATACTCAGAATAAGAGCCGTGATTACCTTACAAATCAAATGGGAATCACTTCACCGTGACGACAAGTGACAACTTTTCACCGTGATGTGACATCCGTAATAAGCCCCATTATAATATAAATCTGAAGATGTTCCATCATCGAAATGCTGAAAATGAACTTAGAGCATGAGCATGAGCAAAATTGATCGCCCGCGACTGCCAACACCAAAGCTAGCTGAAAACCAATTCAAACAAATCAAATCAACAGACAAAACCAGGGTGAAAGCTGTAAGAGTGAATCATTACAGTATAAATCTAATGATGTTCCGTCATCAAAGAGCTGGAAGAAAACTCAAATAATTTAAATCAATAGATCCAGTCTGAATGAAGGCTGCAAAAAGAGAATAATTATACAGCAATGACCCCATTTTGTCAGCTAGCAAAGTATGTGTAACATTCATCTTGAAGGAGGAAGGTATGAAATTACAATTATGTGGAATTATTGAAAAATAACAGTCTGATGCGCGGAGAGATTGACAGGATCGGGTCATAACTGTAATGTGAATATTAGGAAGATTTATCATCATCAAACTATTCTTGAATTGACCTGGAAGATGCTTGTGAATAATTGTTATACAGATAAATTAAATTGATAAACTAAATGGTTCAAACAACAACTCCAGCCTGTAAAAAAGCTGAAAATAGGGAATCTTTACAATGTGGATCCCCGACGGTCTTCTACTCAGTAAGCAAAAGTGGCAGCCACCAGGCTAGTCGAGCTGCTCAATTTAAATATTGAAACCTTATTTTGTGAAGTTCTTAAGAATACCAATTGAAACACAATGTAAACAAATAAAAGTTAAGAGTCTCATCCGAATCAAATGATTCCAAACGATACGCATTCATAGAAATTAAGTTTAAATAGACAAAAGTAGAAAAATTGAACAATCTCACCAAATCAGTCCAACTGAATCCCTTGCAAGCAGCTATGTCACGCTTGGTGTAGTAGCTCCGATCATAGACCCGCCCTACGGGGATCAATCCTCTGGTCGAATGTAGTCGATTGCTCCATGACGCGAACACGAAGCGACCGCTCACAAAATCATACAACGCGTAAACAAACTGAAATCAAAAACTATCACACGCGACGCCACAAATTTCTGTACCGGGAGCACAAGCGAAGAAAAAAACAAACAACGTAGATAGCGACATTTCTTCTGATGCCTGCAAACATGATGCATCACGTTTTCTTTTTCGATTCCAAAACTTCTCAGAGCGAGAAAACCACCAATCACACACGTATAACCGTCCGGGAGGCAGAGTGCCAGCGCTAATCTGGCAAAATCAGCGAACGCACGCACAAAACAGAACTAAACTTATACACAACCGTATCCGAACAGGTTCGAAGCTGAACTGCTTATGAATACTTTTGGCAAAGATTTACTACATTAATTGTTTTGCCAGGCAAATTGCGGGGATCTAAAAAAAGTTCCGGAAATTACAGCGAAGTCCAAAGACCTCCAAGGAAGTTAAGAAATTCCAGGAAACCTTCGAGAATTTCACAGGAGTCCAGAGAATTTCAGGAAAACTTCGGGAGCATCATAGAAGTACAGAAAACGTAGCTTCAGGGAAGATCATTGCCGTTACATTGAATTTGTAGAAATTTTAAAGATGTTTAGAGAACTTCTGAGAAATTTTTTATAACTACAGGAACTTCCTAGTATCACAGGAAAAAAATTGGAATTATTAAATACTTCGAAAACTTCGAAATAACTGCCTTGGTTCCATTAACTTAAGAATAATTGTGGGTAGACTTCAGAAAAGTACAAAAAACTTCAGTGAAGTCCAGATAATTTTAGAAAAGTCCAGGTTACTTCGAGGAAGTCCAGACATATTCACGAAAGTTTAAAGATGCTTTGGGAAGTTACGTGAACAGAGTAGTTACAAGATCATCAGGAAAAATCCGGGATTTTCAGGGCTGTTCAATGAATAAAGAGGTACCGGTTCCTAAATTTGAGGCTGAAAGACGAGCAAGAACGGTCAAATGACATCGTAGGTGCTTATTTAGTTAATCTTGTAATAACATTTTTATTTTATCGCCATAATTTGAGCTTTTCATAAAATGATTTATTTTCTGGAATGACATTATTTTCCTACAACTTCATCCCAGACGTCATTTTGATTAGAAGAGCCTTTTTTCCTATGATTAATTGAAAAATTTCTTGAACGTCGTTCCGTAACATGTGGTGGAAATTAAAATAGCCAAATGTCAGCACAAATTTAAATCAAAAATATGCAGTATGCAGTGGAAATACTCTTTTGTACTCTTCAACTCACCTTGTCACTACTTCCTCCTCGGACCCGTCACTTTCGGTGTCACTTTCCGTTTCTTCCTTTTTCTTCTCTTTCTCCTTCTTCTTATCATCCTTCTTCTCTTCTTTCACTTCCATTTTCTTACTCTCCTTCTTCTTATCTTCCTTCGGTTCCGCCTTCTTACCGACCTTCTTCTTCTCTTCCTTGACAGACGCTGTTTTCTGGGCCTTCTTCTTCTCTTCCTCCTTAATTTTCTTCTCCTCATCTTTCTGTTTCTTCTCTTCCTCCTTCAACTTCTTCTCTTCCTGTTCTCTTATCTTCTCTTCTTCCACTTTTTTAAATTCTTCATCTCCCTTTTTCTTTTCCTCTTCCTTCGCCAACTCGCCCTTTTTCGCCTCTTCCTCGGCCTTCTCCTTCTTCACTTCCTTGGCTCTCGGTGCCCTTGATGACGCTTGCTTCATCAAGCTCGCCTCCAAAGCGGCGCGAGTTTCGTTCTCGTACAAACAGTGCACTTTTGCGATCGCATTCAGCGATGCCACCCGATGGCGTTTCGGACCGGACCAGAACCCGTACAGCTTCAAATGTCTTGTTTTTGCTGTCAGCTGCTTCTTGACGATCCGAGTTCGAACCGATTCCTCAGACGTGTACCCATCCGATTCTTCATCGGACGACTCCTGAACTTCCTGTTTGATCCTCTTGTTGACCGGCGTTGCCGGTCGTTCGTCCGGATCCCGTTCCTTATCTTCTTCTGATTCTTCCGCATCCGAATCGGTACTAGCTTCCTTGACAACTTTAGCTCTCGACACTGACTTTGTCGGTTTCTTCGCAGAAATCTTCACTTCTTCCTCGTCAGCCTCATCCGACTCACTGTCACTTTCCTTCTTATGCGCCACTGACTTCACTGCGGGCTTCTTCACAACTTTCTTCATCTCTTTTTCATCTTTGTCCGATTCGCTTTCGCTCTGCCTCATGTTTTCAACTTCTGCTTGTATACTTTCCGCTTGTTCTGGCAGTACTTCCTGAACTTTCAATGGTTCATCCTCCAGCTCCTCTTCCTCTTTGGTGGCACTCGCTTCCAGTTGCTTCCGCTTGAAGATTGGCTTTCCTGGTGGCTTGACCGGTGAGTCGGTTTCGCTTTCCGATTCGTCGAAATCGTATACGTCCTTCTTCTCCGTCGGTTTCTTCTCTTTCGGGTCTTTTGCCAGCGTCGTGATGGCAGCCGCTTTTGAAGGTTTCTTTTTCGATCCTGAAGAGGTTGGAGTTTTCCGGACGTATTTCCGTTTGGTTTTGGAAGGAGGTTTAATCAAGACAGGAGTTGCTGCAGGTGCGTTGGGACCCGGTTTGACCGACGCTGGGGGCATCTGAGGTTCAATAAAAGCTTCAGGTTTTTCGGTTTGAGATTTAGATTGATCCTTGAGGCGGTTCAAGGGAAGATCGTCATCGTTTTCCGTGGAAGAACGTATGGACTTGGGGGGTTCAGGAGATTCAGTGGGTTCCGAGGATTTCTGATCACTTGCGCGCTGAGTTGCTTCGCCTGTTGCCGTGTCGATTGGTTTGTCAGTAGGAGCCACGGGGTTTGAGGCTGGTGTGAATGGTTCTAAGATTACACTAGGAGATTCTTGATTGGATTTGGGTGATTCAGTCCCACGTTTGTGCTCGGGTTTCTTCTTCTTCGCTGGAGACTTTCTCGGTTTATCGGTTGGATTCTTGGGTTTAGTGTATTTTCGCTTCGCCGAAGCTTTCGAATTGTCTTGATTAGTTGAGTTATTAGTTGAGTCTTGTTGAGAAACGCTTGTACTAGCAGATTGATTTTTATTATCAATTTCATCCAACTTCTGCACTGGAGACTTTTTTGTCTTTTTCTCGGTTTCATGTTTACCTTTGACCACCTTCGGTAGTTGTTTCTTCTTGGCATCGGATTCTTCTTTATCCACTTTGGGCTCAATCTTGAACTTCTCCAACTTGAGCCCCATTCCTATCTCTTCATCATCATCATCGTCTTCCAGCGACTTGACGATATCTTCAATGCGACTTTGTACCTCTTCTTCGTCGTTCTTATCGTCCGACTCGACGAGCTCAAGGGAACATGTTCGTTCCTCTTCCATTCTTTGTTTATCTTCGGCTTCTTGTTTGGCAATAGCGGCAGCCGCAGCCGCAACAGCAGCCTCCGCAGCGGCCTTCACCTCCGCTGCCCTCTTCTCCTCCAGGATCGCTTTTTTGGATCTGGGCTTCGGCTTGGGAACGGTTGTGGAACTCTTCTTACCAGCCTTTTGTTGTTGATGTTGCTGTAGTTGTTGTTGTTGTTGTTCACCAGCGCCGACGACGGCGGCGGCATCATTATCATCTTTGCTTTCGGGTTTTTTCGCTTTAGTTTTGCTATCCGTATTTTTAGCTCCGGCCGGCGCTTTGACATCTTCTTTAGCAGCGGCACTAGATTGGGATGATGTCGGTGGTGGCGCGCTAGGCGTTGGCAGCTGAGCTGTGACTGGGGTTTTGTTTTTAGCGCCTTCCTCACGCGCCGTCGCCGGATCTTGTTTGGTATCCTTTGTCTTTGGGACCGGTTTCTTCTTGGTAGGAGTGGTCACCAGTGATTCCAATGGCTTGGGATTCTCTGCTGGTCCTTCTTGTTTCGAAGAATGAATCGCAAAGGCTACCGTTTTCTGTACAACCGAGGGACCACCCAGGGCACCAAAGTCGGTACATTTCTGCTGACTGACGGTGGCACGCGACTTGGTTTTCACCATCTCGCTGATCGAAGGATTGCACTCGACGGTGGCCGTGTCGATTTGATTGATGGCCTTATCGGTAATACCCAAATTTTTCAACTCTTTTTGAATCTTCTTTTTATCCCCTGCCGATCCACCTCCACCGGATTTCTTTCCACCTGCAGCCGGCGCAGATTTCTTCAATTTGGCGGTATCCGACTTTTTGGCGCCGCCAGTCCCCGAGGGACCAGCAGCAGAATTGCTCGGAACTGTTTTGACATGCTTACCGACTGGCGAAGGCGCCGACTCTTGCTTCGAGGGAATGGGAGATTTGGGATTTACTACCGGTTTCGGTTTGGGGCTAGTGGCTTGAAGCGCTTCACTTGTGGAAGTGAGGGCTGCAGGTTGCTCCGGTTCAATCGATTTAGGAGGACTTTCTTTGGCTTTCCATTGGAGACGTTTCACCGGTTTCTTGATGGCGATGGGACTCGTTGCAGTGGGTAAACTTCCGGAAGGGGCGGCTATTTTATCAGCGGCTGCTGCTGCCGCTGCAGCGGCCGCTGCTAACTGTTTCTTCGTCTTCATGCGCTGGTTCTGAAAGTAGAAGAAGGGAAAGGCAGAATGTTAGAAGATAGTTTTACGACACCCATCCGGGAAATGATAGATTCTATTACAGATTTTCATAAAAAGCATGCAGGCGTTGTAATATTTTACCACATGAAGCGATTCTGTAATGTGGTTGTCGGAAGGTTTTATAAATAAGTATCGTGAAGGGTTATACAAAAATATGCATTCTGGAAAAACTTTTTATGTATTTAATTCGTTCGTTTATTTACTAGGCTCAGTCGTGTGTGATAGTTTGAGGAGCCAAAAAAATGTTTGAATTTACATTTTAAACAGCAGTATTTCTAGGTTAGTATTGGGTTCAATTACTCGTGGCGGGCTCAAGGTTAATAGGTAACAATTTCGATTGGAAGGAGCTAGGTTGGAAACTGGTTTCTGAAGCCTCCTTCAGATACTACTCTCGGACGATTGACCAAATCCTGGCTGGGCAGGGGCAAGCAGCACAGAAACAGGAGGATAATAAGACTGGGACACAATGGCTGGAAATTGTTTGGAAAGGAGGGGATGATCACATCAAACTCTAACATCAGACAAACAAAGGAATTCGTAGATCGCCTGCATGTAGGGAAGATCACGGGTTCCCAATACATCTCTTACTTCACGGAAGGGTTGTCTACCTCGGGCCACTAGGGAAAACATGTAATACAAATGGTTTTAGGATCTCATAAATTTGATCTTGAAAAATAATCATGAACTGAATAAACAAGAGAAACGGTCCAATTCTAACCTCAATTTCCTCATTCTGCACTCTTTTGTCAACCTCGATTTTTTTAATTTTTTTATATTAGCAGCAGATCGCGAATAGATGATTTGATAGCAAAACTAATGCATAGAGAAACATGATCATTTCCGGATTTAGACAATTTTAGAACAGTTAACTTTAAAGATCTAATAAATCTAATGCTGTTAGCTGTCTTTACCATAGTTATAACAGGCCTGTGGTTGGATGTGGAAAAGGGTCTTCCAATCAATTTACTATGGCGAGCATGCGCTAGAACTTTTCAATGTTTGTTGACTGGCTGGTGTTTCCTTGATCCAGGAATAACGTCTTACCTTTAACCATACAACACGTCTTTATTTACACCAAGCACTGGGCAAAATAGGGCCCAAAATTAACCAAAATTATATATTTCAATAAGTAATTCCGGTCATGAATATTGACTTCTTCAAAGGGAAAAAATTGAGCACGTTTTCAAACACCACAGAGCTTTAGAAATATGTGTTGTGGGTCATTTCCCACAATGTTCATCAATTTTTGGAAGGAACATTTCAGCTTTATGTTTCGTAAAATGTGAGTAGCCCTATGCCCTACAAATTCCTCAATATATAAATTAATAGGCACAATGAGCAGTGCTACCTAAAATCGTATTGTGTGCTGAAGGTCATTTAATATAAATATAGACAAAATATTCATAATATATGTGTCAGTAAGATAAAACTCAAATTGTAGCTGACTTTCTCCCCAAAATACCTTAGAGTTCGTACAGTTCTTTTGTCTTTTCAGTGAACTATGTATTAGTTCACCAAAAAATTCTCACCGTAATTTTAAAAAATAGATCTTTGGATCCACTGTACCCAATAACTCCTTATTTGTTGTGATCTGCAATTCGATATCCTTTAACTGTTATAACTGTTGTATAAAGGCAAATTATTCAAAAAATATATAGAAAACACTAATATTTTACGAAAAATAAAGGTGTGAAAAAATATAATACATGGGAAAATAGGATGTTTCTAAGGCTCTGAGACGTATGAAACTACGTGCAATCGATTACTCAGACCTTTTCCTCGCGGAATTCAGGATTTCAGCAACCTTTTGAGATATTGAATTTAGGGTATTTATGGACCAATTTACGCCCATAGTGCACTGGGTAGAAACCTAACTTGTAAATGAACCATTCGTCAAGTTGAGCCGAGGCGTATGGCCTTCTTTCTTCTTCCACACAGAGGATCCGCTGAGATTGGCCGAGTGATCAGATTCTGAGCCTATGCCAGCACAATCGGGCTTCTTGGGCCCGATTCCCCTCGAAACCAAGTCTTTCGAAGTCAACAATGTGCCTTGATTCGCAACCTTTCACAGTCACCTGGACTTTCGCCACTGTGTTTACGACGAATACACGGTAAAAAGTTGGCACATCCAATTCAAATGCTCTTGCACTTGACTCAGTCTGTCATGCGTCACTACGAATCGAAGGGATTAATCATTGATTTTCAAGTGATTAGCGTTTTGAAACAAAGTGATTTATCACTGAAACACCTGTAAATCGAAATAATTATAATTTGAATTGGCACTACTGTTTTCATCCATTGAATTTAATTAGTTTTGCTGTTGGAAGCAAATGTCAAAAACGCACATGCCAAACATTACTCGCGAAGATGGCAAGTCAACAACAAATGAAGTCAGAGCAAGAAAGCGATATTTCTCCATTTTCAACCCGAGATAATATAAATTCTAGAGCGTGAGTATTACGAAATTCTTGCTGTATTCAATAATAGTGTATTATTCAACTAAGTTCTCTTACAAAACATTGTCAAACTTATCAAATTTATTGCTGAATGTCTTGTCTTGCTTCTACTACAAGCCTTGCAATGTTGTTCAATATCACTTGGAAACATGTGATCTGGGTAGTAAGTAATATGATACATGTTCTATGGTTATATTCTGAATAACATATAACAAGGTTGCAGTATGAACAAGGCAATATATTAATTTGAACTCATTTTCAGCAAACATGAAATCCAAGGATACATTAGTTAAACTTAAAGGGATAGATTCAGTGTTCACTCGATCACGCGATCGTCTGCTTACTCGGCAGCAACTATTGTGTAGTCCTCCTCATTGTTATTCATCAGCAGTTCTTTCGGTCGATGCGTCGTCGACTTTGGAAAGCAACCGTTTCGTGATGAATGTGTGAGTGCTGACCACGTTTTGCGTTCATTGCTGCAATGGAAGCGCTCTGCCCCCCGTTGGCGAATCTGCCATACAATGAAACCACTGGAAGCGGCTCCCGTTCTGTAGGAGGAGGCTTACTGGATAGCGGAAGATAAAGTGTTTCTTGAGTTGTACCTTTTGACTATAGCTTTAAGATGTTTTGTATAGTAAATAAGAATCCTCGGCTCTGAAAAGTTAATTCAGTTGAGCCTTATCAAATTAATCAATGAACAAAAAAAAACAAAATTAAATTGATAGATTGTTAATATAAGTATGGTTGACATTTCGAGTGCAAAGCACAGCACGTCAACAACGATGTGCAATACAATCTAAAATGAAGTGATTTGCTGTTGATTTCATCGTGCTTCGATATGATCTCTTGCAAGGCATTTGCACATCGAATTGCAATGCTTGCTTACCGTGTGCTCATATTAGAAAACAAATTCTTGTTAAAATTCGGAAAGTTTTACTCAGTCTATGAGTTAAATACGTTTTCAAGAATATGAGTGAACTAATCTCATCAACTTTGGGTCGACCTCATTTGCCGTGTAATCGAAACTTATCTTTTTATTAATTGCTTTTAACGTATACGGCGTAAATGGATGCATTCCCAACTCCAATAAGGTGCAGGTTAAATGCAGGTATTTTTTGCTAGAACATGACTTTTACTGACACTTCAAATTTCGCATCTATTTCATGACCACCCCCCCCCCCCCCCCTCACACGCAAAACTTCTACTTATTTTATGCAGCCCAATTACAGACATTTTTCGCAGACTTCTGAAAACAGAATCTGGCATCTCTGATTCTGAGGCCTTCATAACTTCTGGAATGTTCCCAAAATATTCCTGAATTTAACTAAACTGCCTTGAAGTTCTTTTGTAGTTGGAGAAACTAACCTGATGCTCGCAATACTTCTCATCATTTTTTTTAACTTCTCTAAACTTTTACGGACTTCCTAAAGTTTCCACAATTTTCTTAAGGATCATGAATTTTCTCTAAAGTGTTAACAATTCACTGAATTTCTTGATTTTTTTTTAATTTATGTAATTTTCCTGCTCTGGAACATCTCTGCTCTGAGGATGTCTTTTCTTTCTTGAAGTTTTTTTTTGTATGTTTAAAGGGTGATATGGTCAAAATTTGGTCAAGGGAAAACGCGTGTAAATCGGTGAAATCGTTTATTTAAAAAATCATATTAAATTTCTTTTTCAAGTTCAATTAGTATAAAATTCAGGAAAAATATTCAGTTAGGCTTCCGCTTTTCCAAATCCGAATTGCCGGGCCTAACGCTTGACCCCTGCCATCAGATTTTGTACAGCCACCTTGTCCACCTTCTTCTCCGCAGAAAGCCAGTTTGCCTTGAACTGCTGCTCGCCCTTAGCAGTTTTTTTGGTCTTCTTTAGGTTCCGCTTGACAATAGCCCAGTATTTCTCAATTGGGCGGAGCTCTGGCGTGTTGGGAGGGTTCTTGTCCTTGGGAACCACCTGCACGTTGTTGGCGGCGTACCACTCCATGGCCTTTTTACCGTAATGGCAAGATGCCAAATCCGGCCAAAACAGTACGGAACAACCGTGTTTCTTCAGGAAAGGCAGCAGACGTTTATTCAAACACTCTTTCACGTAAATTTCTTGGTTGACAGTCCCGGAAGCTATGAAAATGCTGCTTTTCAAGCCACAGGTACAGATGGCTTGCCAAACCAGATATTTCTTTGCGAACTTTGACAGTTTCATGTGCTTGAAAACATCTGCTACCTTTCCCCTTCCTTTTGCCGTATAAAACTCCTGTCCCGGAAGCTGCTTGTAGTCGGCTTTGACGTAGGTTTCGTCGTCCATTACCACGCAGTCAAACTTTGTCAGCATCGTCGTGTACAGCCTCCGGGATCGCGCTTTGGCCGTCGTATTTTGTTTATCATCGCGATTTGGAGTCACTACCTTCTTGTAAGTCGATAGTCCGGCTTGTTTTTTGGCTCGATGCACGGTTGTAGACGATACACCCAGCTTATTTGCGGCATCTCGGAGAGAGAGGTTAGGGTTTCGCTT